ATACAGGGTGTCCGCTCAAAACAGGTTCTAATATGTTGTGCAAAAATAGTTAACTATTAACTCTTTTGTAACACAGTGTAAGATCAAAGACTGGCATAGTACAATGTCCAATCAATCAATGCATCAATCTGAAATAATCTACTTAGCTTTAATTGACATAACTGAAAAATGCTAAAGAAGTCTCAGCTAAACCTTAAGAGGTAAAAAGACCTTGAAGTGTCCGCTTACTGCAGGTTTTGTGCAACAAAATGGCTTATTATTGGTGTCCGCGTCTGCTTACTTTACAGTAAATGTAGGGAGAAAATTTTGGGACTCAAGCTGGTGTCCGCTTGATATGGGGTCCGCTTAATTCAGGTTTCACTGTGGTTGCAGGGATTAGTCCCCTCGTGTGTGCCGACCTTTACGGCTTCTACTACAATTCGTTTTTTACCTCGTTTTTTACCGAACAGTCTGAGCTGAAGAATTCTTTAAGATTGAAACTGAGAAAAATAATTTAACCATATCTACCAATAGAGATTTGATCTGAAATATGATTTTATCCAACCGTCGAAGAAGCACCCGAAGGATTGACGATTACAATTGTCCAATCAAAAATGGCAAGGAACTCCGAACTTATCACGACAGCTTGCCGACTTGTATCGTTACTAAGCAACCCCCTTGCTGGAACCAAGGGTTCAAACAACTACGACTAAGACAGGTTCTTTTAGGTTGAAGTTCTGGATAATGTTCTCTTTATTTTTCTTTCTACAGTTCTTTTGGCTCAGTTTCATTTCTCTCACTGCTTGCACTCGCTGTGGGTATATTTCCGCTCAGGTTTGTCAACCCAGCGTTCTCACAGACGTAAGCTGTTATCTGCGACCCTATCACCTCTTTGGAGTTTCTCTCTGGGTGGAACAGAATGTTGAATACTTTAGGCGCAAACATACACCCAAGCAAGCCAAACGAGTCCACTAAAGTAGTGGTACAGGCGATAACCGAGACGTACCAGCCCTCCTGCACTGAGAACTCCACTGAATAATAACATAATGCTGACAACAGAATGATGTACAGAGAGAACGCGATGAACCGCGCCTCGTTGAAGTTATCTGGCAGTTTCCGGACTTTGAAGGCGTAAAACGACGAAAGCAGCGAAAGCAGCAGAACGTATGAGCAAACCATAAAATACAGTGCTTTTCCGACTGAAGATCCATAGGGTGTACAGGTGTAAAAGATGTACTGAGTTGGTTGGATTTTTTCATTTCGAAAGGGTGGGTCTGAAGCGAACCAGGCGATCAGTAACACAACATCCACGCTGTTGACGAGAGCAACTAAGGCCACTTGATACTTGGCTTTTGAAATGTAACTTTGCGAGGCCATTCTGGAGACGTCGAATTGAAACAAGACGAATATACGCACGGATTTTAACCACAGAATTGACACGAACGTAGAGTAAATGATATACCGGGAAAACTGTGCAACGCGACAAATAAAATCAGTCGGTTCTGCCAAGCTCAACAGTGCTAGAGTGAAACTGAGGAAGATCGCGAGCAGAAGGACGAAACTCAGCTGCCTGTTTGAAGCTTTCACAATGGCCGTCTCGCGGTACTTCAGAAATACCAGTAACGCGGCAGTGGTCAGGCAATATCCTACAACTGTCACACAAGACAGCAACACACCAGCCGTGTCCTCTAAACGTAAGTTCTTCACCGGTAGGCTGACACATGTCGTTTTGGCATCGTTCGATTTCTGTTTAGGAGGACACGTAGTGCAGTTGGTAGACCCAGGTTCCTTGCTGACTGTGTCCCCCGGGCACTTGACGCATTTCCAACAACAAGGCGCAATTACTTCCTGCCGAGTTCCGGGGAGACAAACCTCGCTACAAACTGAAGCCGGAACTTCTGTATAAACACTGCCGTTTGCCCACTTGATCGCGGAATCGTTTAATCGCAACCTTTGCTGTTCCTTGCTGTTCCAAAATCCCACTATAAATTTGTTTTTCTCGCCCGCTCCGTGCACTTGGATGTTCACTATCTCGAACGACGATTCTTTTGGATCTCCGTGATCGTCAAATTCCACAACACCAGTGAGACCTCTAAAGCTGACATTTTTCAAGAATGGCAAAAGGTCGACCCCTCCAGTCTTAAGTGGTTTTGTCAGTGCGCACTCTCCCCCTTGAAGTTTTTCTTCTGAGTCACGGCACCTGATGCTCCTGTCCAAAGCGTAAGCGGCTGCATAGACGGCGTCTATGAGGTAGATAAGATAAGGATCGATCAGTTCCTTAGCCATGCTGCGTGACAACGGAACATCGAAACATTTCGGGTCTGTTTCATAGACACTTTGAACGGTACAATTCCTAAATTGTTTCCAGTACTCAGCCCACCACGGATTTTTACTGAAGCGAGTTTTATTCGGGGTTAGAGAAGTTAAGTGTTTTTCAAACCTTTCGTTCCTGCGATTGTGCGGTTGAATACCGAGGGCGCCATCAAGAAGACTTAAGTATGGGCCAAGTAGGTCGCTTCCCTCTGTGCTCGTTGCGTCGCCCAGAATCCAAGTTCGCCGTGATAACTTTTGTCTGTGAGCTTCTGCAAAGAACTGTTTAGCATATCCGCCGAAGACCCACACGACGATCACTTTGACATTGCTCTGCTGTTTAATTCGAGAGACAATCTGTG